GCCAATATATTTTTCATGGAGTGTAAGAATTATTATTGTTGCTATGCCAGTTTGTGTTCTTTTGCTAACTGTATTCCACAAGTGAGTGAAATCATCTAGTCTTTTGCTTTCTGACTTATTTCACTTAACACGGTCACCTCAAGATTCATCCATTTTGTCACAAAATGTACTATTTCATTTTTTATGTAGCTAAGTAGTATTCCATTGAGTTTATATTCAACATTTTTTTTTATCCTGCCATCTGTCAATGGGTATATAAGTTGGTTCCATAGCTTAGCTATTGTGAATAATGATGCTGTGAGCATAGGAGTGTATAAATGTTTTTGCATTAGTGTTTTCATATTGTTTGAGTAAATACCCAGAAGTGGTATTGTTAGATCATGCTGTATTTTCTTTTTTTTTTGAAGAATGTCTATACTAGTTTTCATAAAGACTGCACCAATTACATTCTCATTAACAGTGATTTTTCTCTACATCCTTGATAACATTTGTTGTTTCCAGGTTTTTTTTATATAGGCTATTTTCATAGGGGTGAGGTCATCTAATTCCGGCTTTAATTTCCATTTTCATGATAAGTGAAATGAGCTTTATTTCCTGTATCTGTAGGCTATTGGAATATCTTCTTTGGACAAGTGTCTGTTTCAGAGTTTTGCCCATTTTTTTGATTGCCTCATTTAAAATACGGTCCATGTTTCAGATATTCCAAAACAGAGAACATTTTAACAGGTTGATAATTGTCCTTTTAAATATCCTGTTGTATCTGTGTATACACAGACACACACACGTAATGATAGACTCCTGTCCACACTTAGGACCATGTTAAGTGCTGCTTTATAATGTTCAATTAATCTATTAAGTGAAGTGTATATTTTGTCAGAAAATATATATACACATACTTATATATTCACAAAATATGTGCATTAAATATGTTCGTGTTTTATATATGCATTTTTAAGTACATAGTATTTATATTCTACAAGTTACTTAAATATTCTTTTTTTGATAAACATATACTTTCTGTTTCTACTATCAATGTTATAGTGCTGCAAGGTATGTGTTTGTGTTATTGCTATTATTTAGGTGAATTCCTTGAAATAGAATTATTGAACAAATGTGTAGACATTACCATTTTTTAAAGATTTATTTATGTATGCATACAAGAACTAAGGTACAGGCCAGAGGTGTGGGGGGTGAGAGAATTCACTAGAGACAGAGTGGGGAGCAGAATAAGCAGATCTACTGAAATACATTGCTGAGGGGAGCAGCGGGCAAATCAGGAGAGGTCTGCTGCACTATGTGTAGAGCTCTCTGACTGGGGATTGAACTCATGCTGTAGTGGCTGTGGATAGCTTCATAGGTTGCATCTTAACCCCTTCTGCCGCCAGGGAGGCCCGACATTAACATTGTTGGTGCATACTGCCTTTCACAAATCTGTTACAGATTTTTGTCACCACTGACAATGTGAGTCTTAAAGTTTGTACGGGTTTCATTCTCTATCCCCACAGCTTTTCTCTGAGCTGCTATCCATGGGGTACTCCTTGAGATCTGATATCCTCCTTCTGATCACATACCAGGACTGGGCTTGAATAACTGTCCTTTCTTCAACCTTAAAAACTCCCTTACTGATCTTCTTATCCCTTAAGCTCCTCTCATTCCTGGAAACTTTTTGAAAGATAGAGTAGATAATAAGGATACATTCTGACAACCAGACATCTATAGGACACTACTACACCCAAAAAAATCCAAGTACACATTTTTCTCAAGCTCACGTGATCATTCTCCAGAATCGATCACATACTGGGCCACAAGACAAACATCAACAGATACATGAAGATCAAAATCATTCCAACTGTCTTCTCCAATCATAAAGACATCAAACTAGAAATAAATCATGAAAAGAAAACAAGGAACCCTCCCACTTCATGGAGACTGAAATCCACACTACCTGAAGACCACTGGACCAATGAGATAAAAGAAGAAATTAAAAAATACTTTGAGTTGAATGACAAAGAGAACACAACTTTACAGAATGTATGGGATGCGTCAAAAGCTGTAATAAGAGGAAAATTTATAGCAATACAGGCGCACATCAAGAAACAAGAAAGAACTCTTAAGAGAAAACCTAATCTCACATCTCAAAGAGCTAGAAAAATAGCAACAAAAAAAACCTAAAGCCAGCAGAAGAAAGGAAATAAAAATCACAGCAGAAATAAATGAAATAGAAATAAAAAACAATCCAAAAGACCAGTGAAACCAAAAGTTGGTTCTTTGAAAAAAATAAACAAAATAGACAAGCCTCTAGCCAGTCTCAAAAAGAAAAAAAAATGGGAGAAAGCACATATAAATAGGATTATAAATGAAAGAGGAGAAATCACAACAGGGAACTGCAGTGATGGTGCACGGTTGCATTGGTGAAGGAAACTCTATGGGGACTACACCTGAGGGGGTGGGAGGATGCAAATATTGTTTATGAACAATGAACAATGTTGTAAAAAATAAAAAATATATTAAAAAAAATTCTGACAATCTTAATATAATTTAAACTATCTTTGAAAGAACTCATGTTCATTTTTATTTACCTGATAGCAGGATAAGTACTGCAAGTATGTTGTGTTGTGTAAACAATTAAATGCTATTATTAATATCTTCCTTTGAAACAGAAGTCTGAAGTTAAGAAAATATCTTGATTTCCAAGAACAGATAGCCATAGAATAGCTTGCATATTTGTGTCTATTTTCATGATTATATGATTTCAATTTTACCCTGTCTCCTTTTTTGTTATTGCGCTAAGACATTTACAATGAGATCTATCCTCAATAAAATTTAGGTCTGTTATAAATTATTTTTGACTTTAAGTAGAATGCCTTAAAGCAGATTTCTGAAGTTTATTCATCTCACTTACTCGAGCCTTTATACCTATTAGTTAATGTCTCCTGAATTGCCCTTTTCCTTAACCCCCAATATCTACCAATGTAGACTTTGATTTTTGTGATCAGTTCTGCTCTTAAACACTATAATATATTGTTTGAATTTGGAGATTCAGAAACATATTAGAACTCTTTTACTTCAAAGTTGTTATTCTGGAAAGTAAGTTTATTGATAAATTGCAATGGGATGAAAAATATAAAATTAGATCAGGGTAAGTCAAGTTAGATTTTATTTTTGAACAAATATCTTTCATTAGATTTCACAATATAGTTTTTTTTAAAGCTTTATTTATTGATTCATGCATAGAATTACTGGGATATAGGCCAAAGATGAAGGGTAAGAGGACACAGACAGAGGTAGGAGCCCAACAGGCATATCTACTGAAATACACTGCTAAGGGGAGCAGCAGGCAAGAGAGGAGAGCTTTACTACACCATATGTAAGTTAGCTCCCTGGCTGGGGATCGAACTCAGGCTGTAGAGGTGATAATGCTGAGACTTAACCCCTAGGCCACCCGGGAGGCCCCAGAGTTCATAATATAGTTTATTGTTTGTATTTTTCTTACTATGATTGTATATATTCACTAAGAAATACCTAGTTATATTCATATAGGCAAACTTGTAGTAATGAAATTTCATACTTACTTGACAGTCTATTGAATGTGTAGTGAATAGCTCTTATGGCATAGCAAACGACTCTAAGTTCAGTATCTTAAAACCACTATCCTTAAAAACCACTGTCGCTAGGGCCTGTCTAGTATAAGCTTACTCCACTTTTGGCAGGTTGGAGGGGTCACTGACCTAATTTGAGCTCAGTGTCAGCAGCTTCTGTAGCGCTGCTTATTCCAAATAGTCTCCTCATCCTTCTGGGACAAATGTGTTAGCCATGGCATGTCTTTTGTGCAGCAGTGGGAGAAACACAAAAGAAAAAATGGAAACACATATGTATTGAAGCCTGGGCTTACCTCAAGGCAAAGGTGTAGTAGCTTTATCTCATTCTACTAGCCAAAGCAAGTTTTACTACTAAACTTGCAGCCAGCATATGGAAATAAGTTTAGTCCCCTTTGTGGGAAAACCTGAAAAGTCATGTAGAAAAAACATGAAGATATGAAGAAGGGAAATTTGGACTACTGATGCGCCCTATAGCAATGAAATTCAGTTTTATTAGCCAATGTATTTAGTTCCAACCTAAAACATTAACCTATATTCTGAACCATTTTGTCATGGTATGTGATGAAACTATCTGATTTCCCAAGAGATAGAGGGTGTGCTGTTGATTTCTTAGTTTTTAGTCAGGTGTTTTCTTCCTATGAAATGATATTGTTCATGTTCTTTAAGAACCTCTTATGTTTCTCTCTGGGTTCAATTTTCAGCACTAAACCCTCTCAGCGAGTGACTCATTAGACTAGTCTCCACTATATCCACCCACTCAGCCTCATGCATGCCACAGCCTCCAAATCTGCGGCTGCTGTGTCACATAAGCATGCAAACTGGAGAATCCAGGATGCCTATTCAACTGGTGCCAAAAAATCAAGCCTTAAATTTAAACTTTAAGAGGAGCATTTGAGAGTAATTATCTGTAAGAAAAATAGCTTGATTGCTTGGGAACCTGATCCTAAGGTGACTGTTACTCACTCACAGTGAGTTAAGCGGAAATTGGAGGAGGGATTCCTAACCCAGGACTATGCCTGAAGATAGAAAGCCGGAAATGTTTAAAGCAGCTGAGAGAGCAAACATATTTTGTCTAAAAAGATAAGGCAGCTGAACAGAGAGTGAGAAGATGTGAGCCAAATTTACACACACAAATAGTGGAAATAATCTCTGAATAACCAATTTGGGAAGACATGGGGGAGATAATAGGGCTATGAGTGACTGGTGATGAGAGAACAAAGAGATTAGCAATTCCTGTGGGATAGATTAGTAGTGCTTCCAAGGTGTCACAGAAGAGTTCACTCATGGTAGGAGAGAGGTATTTCTTCTTCTTATTTTTTTTAGCATAGTTTACCAAGAAAGTTCAGGCTTTAATAAAGGCATAAGTATCAAAGATTTTCGTCTGCTTGCTTTGATTTTCAGGGTATTGGAAATGCAATCAGTGGGACAGTTTGTGAAGTAACAAAGTGAAATATTCAGAAAGAAGAGACCCTTTTGCAGGTAACTTAAAGAATCACTACTTCTAAAACACATATGACTCTTTGTTCTGCTTTTTTCCTGTAAATGGAACCTAAGATAATTCAAATAATGATTATCATCTCTATATTCTTATTCATTAATAATTATCTAAATGTGAAGTAAAAATCCAAAATTAGGTGTCTACTTATTTTTCCAAATTCAGAACTATGGAATGTCTATTGTTTAACAGTTTCTATAAGAGAAAATGTTTGTCTTGATGTAAGTAATTAAATGTCAATATTAGTCATTGTATGTCAGTTTTTATTTTCCTATATAAGTTGATGCTGTAATCTCAACAATTAAGACCTATACAACTCAGCAATTTCACCTGAAAATTTAACTTTTATGTTATAAAATTACTTATAAAAACCTATGTGTTCTGCACCAGGATAGTAAATGAAAGAATGTTTAAATTCTGGATATCAAAATATATCTATTCAAATTTTACTTGTTGTACATATTTCACTTCTCTGTCTTTCCCATATCATGTGCTACAGATAATAGTGTCCAGGACATGTTGCATATTGTATACTAGTAATTATTGACATGTTGGCACAGATAGGCATATTTGAGTCTATAAAAAGTTTCTGAAAGAACAAAACAAAAAAGGAAGTAGTATACTTGAAAGAGCTTCTGCCAATAATTGCTTATGTGATCTGTTATATGATTCTCCTATGATTTATAAAAAGGAAATTCTATACAGATAGATGTGTGTATGTAAAATGACATGTATATGTAACAAATGTTACAGTTTACATATGTGCTATGTATCATATATGTATGTTTATGTCTGTGTAGATGTTTGTCTTTCTACATGTGTGTATGTATGTGCGTATGTAGTTACCTAGCTCTCTATCAACCTAACTACTTACTATCATCTATACTCAGCCTCTGTCTGGTTAGGTGGCGTTGATAGCTATTGATATCATGGAGAACCTTGGGGGCATGAAAAACCTTACCTTTGTTGGAAACATAGTGTATTTTTTATGTGATCATCTTGTATGCCCCATCACCTTTTGTTAGTAAAGAAATCACATATCCCACAAATTTACCTATATGAATCTTAGTTTCCTCCCCCATAAAATTAAAATGAAAATGTTTATAAAATTATTTTTAAGATACTGAAATAATGCATGTGAAGAATATTAAAAGGGCATGTTTTCACAAATTGAAATGAGGAATTGAGAAAATAAAGGAACTGGGGTTGACCCATAGTTGAAATAGGAATTCAACAAAACAATTAAATTTGTGAGTTTTTATTTGTATTTGAAGTCTAGCTATTTTAAATAACACTGAAATTATAATTCATACATGATTCCATGAATATTCCACATTTTATTTTAGGAGATATTGGTTAAACTGTCTAAATCTGAATGAAAAATTATATGTTAATAACATAAGAAATAGGCAAATATGTGTGCACAGTCTGTATTCTCTGGCACTAGATTGGAAATGTATACCACCAGTGCAGAGATGAAGTAAATTAACTATAACTTTTGCAAATTATATATTTAACCCTCATGCAATTTTTGTTGTTGATGTAATATTAGTTTATGAAACATTTTATAAGATCCTAGTCATCACTGAGAATCAACGTCTATATACCATATTAAGGTGACCACTTAGATTCTAAATTTACCCTTTACCTTACAAATGTGTCTTTTTTCACTGTTTACCCACCATTCTTCTCCCTTCCCTTCTGATAACTAATTGTTGGTCTTATGGTCAGTTTTATCTATGTACCACAAGTGAGTGAAATCATGAAATATTTGTCTTTTCCTGTACACTTTATTTCATGTACCATAATTCTAGATACATCAGTGTTGTCGTAAATCTCAGGATTTCATCCTTTCTTTACATTGCTGAGTAGTATTCCATCAACTTCTTAAGATTACCATTTCAAGTTTTCAAGAATCTTTCCAAGTTTGTTTTCTAATCCTGTCCAATAAGATTATGTGTTTTCTTCAGACTGTCTATCCATGCCACCAACAACTTCAAAGAAAGTCAGCATCCTCAATTTTGTTTTTTTTAGATCCCTTTCCTACCTGCGATGCCTCCCATCTTGACCAATAATCATGTATCCCACATCTTTAAATAACAGGAATAGCCTCTACCTAGCTACATTTCTGGATCATTCTAACCCATGATTATCCCACCATCTAAAAACTTCATACATTTATTTTCCATTTTTACTGATATAATTTTTATACATTAGTAATAAAATTTGATGTTATTTTCTGTTAGTAGAAATAGAGTTGACTAATGAGTTCTATAAATGGTGCTATTAGTTTGGTAAATTGCATATTTTTATAAATTGATAGTCTCTAATATATCTTTGTATTATTTACAATATGTTTTTATTGGGGTCTCCCCAGTGGCACAGTGGGTTGAGCGCCATGCTGTGAAGCTGCCCATAGCCTCTGCAGTGCAGGTTCAATTCCCAGCCGGCCAGGGAAAAACCCACATTGCACGGCAGACCTCTCCTGTCTCGCCCGCTGCTCCCCTCAGCAGTGATTTCGGTCCGTCTGCCTGTTCTGTTCCCTGCTCTCTCTGGTGAATTCTCTCACCCTACTGCACCTCTGACCTATACCCCAGTTCTTGTATAAATAAATCTGTAAAAAAAATTTAAAAAGTTTATATTGTTCTTTTGCAAATGCATATTTTTCCAATATATGGTACTTAAAAAGAATGCAGGTTGATTAGAGAAATATGATAGTATATGAGGGAAGGATGCATTATAATATCTGAAAACCACAAGTGCTATATCATATTCCCTGAAATAGCAGAAACTCAGGAAAAATCTCTTTACTCTTAAATTTCTAACATAACTGTATATTTTCTATACATACTTAACGTGCCATTTATCAATACCCCTCTCTACTTTCTCATTCTTCTCCTTAGTAGCCATCATCACTTTCTTGGTCTAGAGTCTCTATTTTAATTTTTTGCCATATGCTTTAGTATTCCCACAGCAACCAGAATCATCATTTAATATGTCAATATGACAATTTAACTTTTTTGTCCAAAATTCCCATGGCATGCTTTCATAGTTTAAAATGAAATTCAGACTCCTTACTGTGACCTTAATGTCTTGACCCAAACTGCCTCTGATCAGTCTCGCTTCTGTTTGTTCCACCTGAACAAAGTGGCCTCTTTGTTGTTCATGTTGTATGTGACAAAGAATGCTCCATCACAGATAGCCGTATTGCCCATCCTATACCTCTCTTCATTCAACACCACATCCTTTGCAAAGCCCCCCAGTGATTAGCCTTAAAAAAGTGCATTCAATATCAAGTCACACTGCTTAATTTGTCATTATGGCACTTGTTAATACATAACGTATTGTACATTTATTTCGTCTTTTTTTTTATGTTACCTCTTAAAAGAATGAGATATCTGTGAATACAGAGTCTTTGATTTGTTCATCTTTTTTGCTCCATAGCACCTACAGAACCCTTAGGCTTGTAGTGGACACTGAATTAACCTATCTGAATAGGTGTATTAATATTTTTGTGTATCTAGATTAGAAACATGCACATGTTGTCCTTTTATGTCTGCAGAATTAGGACATTGAATGTATTTCTTAAAAATATTGCCTGCTCTAAGCATCCAAAGGTGAGACTTTTGTTTTTCCTGATTGTCTATAGCTTCCTGTTAAGTCCCATAAACACCATGTGTCAGTGTCTCTTTATAAAACAGTGACAAATATTTCTTGTCACTTGATGTCATGAAACTGATGAACAATGTTCTTTAAATACCAACAGTCATTTTCAACTGTACTTTGTTATTAATTCCTGGACATGACTGAAAATGATTCTTTTACTTTGTTCTAAAGAAAGATGATAATGCACATTTGGTAAAAATTCCCTAGAAATATATATAGATACAGGATATTAAAACACATTTTTTAAAAAAGTTCCCAGACGTAAGGCAGTTGTAAAATGTCTGGCTCTGTGCTGGTTTGAGGTTTTGCTTGGATTCCAAATACAGGTTTGTGTGTTTAAAATGGCATCTCTGTAATTATTGATTTCCATTGGGATGCAATTTTGGCAAAGTGGGTTTATTGTTTTCAGTGAGAACCCAATAATATAATTCTAAATGAGATGAATTAACCTTGTGCTCTAGTGATATCTTCAGTTTCAGGATTGGATTCTCATTTGAAAAAATAACCTAAAGCAACATCATCCAGCTAAAACCTCGTTACTGTATACAATGTAGATAGAAATGTACACACAAATATAAATAAGAGTGAGAAAGTATATATGCAGATATATAAATATATATGCAATAAATATATAGACTAACCAAGATAAGATCAATGTAAATCAATACAAATGTAAACTTGATGAAAATAAACACCTTGCTTAAATGTTTATCAGTTTCTAAAAAACTTATAATTAACACATATGTTCAGTAGTAAGTACTTTTATTGTTGGCATTTATCTACTTCTCTGAGATAAGGTTGAATTTAATGTTTTGATGAGTTAAATAAAATTCCAAATTTAAAATTACTGGGATATTTATTTTGTGATAGGGTTTTGAATGTATGATATAACTTTGAGGCCCTGACAAGCAAAACTGTAGAAAAGGCAAATCCCATCTATTCTATGCATACAGAAGGCTCACTTGAAACAGAAAGACAAACACAAAATTAAAGTGAAAGCCTGGGACCTCCCTGGTGGCGCAGCTGTTGAGTGCTGGGCTGCAAAGCTGCCCACAGCCTCTACAGTGCTGGTTTGATCCCCCGCAGCCAGCGAGGGTCCCACATGGTAGGCAGACCTCTCCTGCGGCGCCCTCTGCTCCCCTCAGCAGTGTGCTACTACGTCGGTCTGCCTGTTCTGCTCCCCGCTCTGGCTCTGGTGGATTCTCTCACCCTCCCACACTTCTGACTGTACCCAGTGCTTGTATAAATAAATAAATAAATTTAAACAAAAAAAATAAAGTGAAAGCCCAGAGTAAGGTAGTATTAGTCAGCAACACAG